ATATCAATATTGAATCGTCGTTGACGATGCTGTGTATCATATCTTTTGATTAGGATACATTCTTGTTCTGGTGTAATATATTCTTGCACTGGGATAACCTTTTAGCTTAGTATAACATGTTTTCTGCCTGGTGTACTACAAGTTCAACATCAAGTTCCCTTAAGAATATCCTTTACTGAAGCCTTTCACTTATGGCCTTCTTTACACTGCCATTCAAGAGGATCCCGTCTATTAATATACTCAGTTGTAAGGTAAAGACCTTCTTTCTTTTTTGCAAACTTCCTCATATCTTCAATTGTTCGAGTATGACGATTTTCAACTGCATACTATGGGCATCATGTTTTTTCATTCTTTACATTAGAAAGTCTTACAGACCATAAATGATCCTTAGCACATTTCCAAAGCATTGGCATCTAACAATTGATATATCTTTCAGAGATGCATTTACCTCTTCTGCTATATGCGATCTCTTTAGCAACATCCAAAGTTAATTTTGCCATTAATATTTTACACTAAATTTCAAAAGGCCGGCGGAAAACATGATATTATTTCATTTCGTGTTTTATTCTTCCCTTTAAACAAGATCTACTCCAATATCTTGTATTAGTTTCATTTTTACTTAGTTGACCGGCCCTTTCTCATGTATTACTTCATGAAAAAAAAAATATAATAAAGAATTCAATTGATTTTTAAAAAATATACATGTTTATTTTGTAATGATTTATTAGTTTTATTATTTGCTTTCATATTCTACATAATTTACGCTATGAAAATATAAAATGTATTATACTGATAAAAAAATCTTATTCCTGTTGCTCGTCTGACCCTTTACCATAATTGATGATAACATTGATCACATTTGCATTTTGCGAAAAAGAAGGGATAGTTAGGGTTACAGGTCTGGAGTTATTAGGTATTTTAATGGTTGGTGTTACCGGTCTTGATGTTACAAGAGAATCTTAAGAACTCATAATGGTTTTAGATATTTTCTTGGGTGATTTATTCAGTAATTCGTTTGGTGGTCGCTCAAGTCTCTCTGTTGATCGTTTTGCTGTTACTTCAGGTCTAAAGATCGTAGACACTCCTGTGTCTGATGATGACGAACTCGCCTCGCTTAACCTCCTATTTCCTTCATTGCAAGCTTATTCTAGAAATAGATTCGTATTGTTAATAATATAGCTGAAGCATTTATTTTCTCCTAAAATATATACCTTGATTTAACCAAAACTTGCTAGAGAACTCTTCGTAAATTTCTTCGCTAACTAAACTTCTTTTGGTTCTAGTACCTTTTTTGTATTTTTCCGCCATCTAATGAAGTAATAATAAGTATATTTTACTATCCAGATTTTTCATAGAATACAAGCAATCGCTACTTACATAAAAAGCTTTCGTAAGATGCAAAAACTTCTTGTGGTAATTATCGCCTATGAAATAGTTTGTTCTTTCCTGCTTATTAATTTTATTAGCGATATCTTCCCAAAAAAGTCATTTCTTTTTGTTTGGAGTGGCATGATACTCAGCATTTCTTTGTTTTCATTCATCAACAAGAATGCGAAGTTGAGCGTCAGACCACTTGATAGAAGACATTTTTTTACATGATGAGAAGTTTCTCAAGGGAATTGAAGCCTGTTTTATAGAGAAATATCAAGTAATGTGTTAGATCATTGCGAGGCAAATTAATTGATCAATATAATGATTAATCAAATAATAATGGTGGCTTAGCTATCATGTCAATAGATCAAGAACAGTGAAATCTGATTGGCTGATCATCTCATAATTTATAGAAACTCACCAGCACCTAGAACTCTCCTAGAACTATCGAGGAACTGGCAGGGATTTAGGAAATCACATTGTGGTACGTTATATATCATGTTACAAATCAATTTAGCCAAAGACGCTGTGCATATGCATGTAAATATAAAATTAGCTTAGCTGAGAGATGGTCCTATATAAATTCCTCGCAAATTTACGTGATTCAAAAACCGTGAACACTGTACTAAGTTACCTAAGTAATATCCCTTCCCCCCTGTTAATTACGAGAGATCTACAAACCGATTTATTAAAATTCATATGGATATTTGAAATATAATCAATAGGAACTAGGGAGATCTCATGTGATACAAAATTTATAATTTAGCCATCTATGATGATCAGATCTAATTTAACTGAATCAAAAAAATATAAAAAAGTATGAATCTGTTTTTACCCAATAAAAATGAATATGATTTTAATATTGCTAAATCAGCTAAAATCGCTAAAAAACACTATAAATTAATAAAATCGTATAATCTAGCAAAACGCTAATATGGATTTAGATAGTAGAGCCTATTCTAAGCTAATTGATGAAAATAATACTTATGGAGACTCTGAAGAATATATAAGAATACTTGATGCAATATTGCCTTTAACAAAAAGACATAATCACGAAACACCAGAAATCCAGTGGTGTCTTTAGGAAGATTTGTTAATTTCAACGTGTATAGGAAGCGAGCCTTAATTTCTTCATTTGTGAGGGAACAGACATGTATTCTGACCATATCTTTCAACACAAAAAGGCCGGCATGTGAAGTGAAAAAGGACATATCAGTTTTGGATGGGTATGAGATGGTCGCCTGTTACCAAAGGTTTTTCGTCATCATTGTGCATCTAACGATCGTACTAAATCTGACAAATGTAGATCTGATGATCTGTTCTGATGTCGAGATTAGAATTTCTGTGACCTTGATCGACAGATTCGGGTTGAATTTAAATGAGGCAGGTGCAGTAAGGGGTGAAAATGTGACAGTTTCCATATTAGAGATTTTAGTAGCTATTGCACGGTTGGCGTCATCTCGAGTTGTAAAGCCTAAACGAACAATTTTTAACGTTTTGTTGGTGAGGTCAGGTTTGATGGAGGCACTAATGAACGAAGGGTAAGCTGCACCATTGAAGAGTTCGCAAGCTTTGTTGGTTTTTTCTTTGAAGGATTTATTCAGAAGAAAGGTTTCTGCAGCGCAGTATATGTAGAAAGTAGTTGCATCTCGAACTCTTTCAAAAGTAATGGTGTTCCTGCTAGCGTTTTTTTCATTTAATAAATTTTCTGAGGCGTCAAATGCTTAGTCTTTGTCCATTTTATTATCATCCCCAGGGACCGATGTTTCACTATCCTTTGGTTGGAGAATGATAGAAGGACCAGTGGTAGTTGTTTCTGGTATGGTATGATCTTTGGGAAACCAGACGGTTGTGTTGTTTATAATATCTATCGTATTTTTGTTTTTATTTCTATTATTTATTTCTGCAAGTTCTGCTGCTGCTTGCTGGTCTACGCTCATATCACCAGCTGAAAAAATGTTGGTGGTGGTTACGACGTTAGACAATCCAGCTGGAGTTTCTGAAGTTTGAGCGGACCTGCCAGTCATAGTTTTCTTCTGGAGAGGTTCGTCTTTATTTTTAGTTGGGGAGTCAGGGTACATACGCAAGTTGCGGTTATTAATTTGTGAAAATTTTTGATTTTTTTCTTTTCCTATTTTTTGGTTTTTGGAGAGAGAGAGGAAAAGTTTTTTAATATGCAAAAATGATTTTATTTTTATTTTTATTTTTTAAAGTGCGGCAGTCTCGCATGATCTTTATTAAATTTATGAGATTACAAGAAAAACAAAATAAAATAGAAAATACAAAAATATCTATAAACTAATCTAGATAACTTAAATTTTATTATAAATTTAATTATATTGAGAACTTTTAGATGTAATTAAGAAATTTATTCAGTTAAATTGTGATTACTTATGGACAGGATTACAAAAAAATGTTCTACTGTCTCTTATTTCTATTTCACTTATAATTATTCATTAGTATATAATGAAGGTATTTTATTATATAAAAATATATTAAAAAAAGCTTAATAGGTCAAGTAGCAGAATTTGCAGTTAAAAATATCATTTATATTATTAGGTTTCTAATTCAATTTTATAAAAAATTATTATTTAGATATTAAATGAATATTTATCATAAAAATTTATAATAAATTATTTTAGTTTAAATTACAAAATCTGCTAAAAAAGATAATAGGAAAACATCAAATCTTTTTTTATAAAATTGTAACTTTTGATTAATATTACAAAAATAAAAATCAATTCAACAAATCAAAAATAAGAAAATTGATCACATAAATCATATATGTCAAATTATAGAAAATAATATCACTTTAAATTGCTATTGCTTTATTAAAAATTGGTTTATTAGAATTTTAAAAATATAATTTTGTTAAATTTAAGTTACTCTATCATTTTATGATTATAATTTATGTTTATCATTTTTTTTTAAGTAAGAAGTAACAATTTGAATTTTATCAAATTTATTGGTTAGAACTAAATTATATAAATCAATAAAGTTTTGATTTTTTAATTCAATTTATATAGCTTTTCATTTTGATAACCTATTGAATTTTCACATTACTAGTATTGTATTTCATCTTCTGATATTCTTTTTATTAATATATTTTTTCAATCATCTGGTTTAGTAAATTCCTACTTTAAGATAAATATTATTCTAATAATAAGGTATTTTTATAATGTAAAATGATGCTATATATCAATTTTGATGAAACAAAAAAACTGATTAAGTTATTACAAATAATATATAATATTAGCATTATTTATTTTATAAAAAATAAAAAATTCTGAAAATTCTTTAATTTTTTAAGCATTCTTTCTGAAAAATTAATACTGATGCATTGATCGACAGAAAAATCACGTGATATTGATGACCTGAGTGATATTGCAGCCGGACCTGCCAAAAATTTACGTAATTATCGCACTGAATGGGTTTATTTGATTACCACGTCATAACTGTAATGTGTTTGGATATTATTTCCAATCAATGAATTTAAAAAAAATCACGTGCTTTGCCGATCGTCACGATTCGTGATGGAAATTTGGATATAAAATTACATGATAATACAAAACAAATTATAAAATTTCATGACATTTCACAGTTCTTTTTTATAAAAAATTATTATCTGATCATATATCTTGGCCAATTAACTTTTTCTTCCTTGAAGGCGAAGCTGTAGTAGGAAGCTCATCAACTTTAACATATGTATGTGTGAAGTTTGGTGTAAGCTTACTAAGTTTGAGGTAATAGTCAATGACACGACTCTGTTATCAACCAAGAAAGCATTAAGCCTATGAGTATAAGTCCATAAAAAGAAAAACCCTTAATTTCGAGTTTATACCCATACCTTGAACATGTATACCTTTTCGATCACTTCTTCTTTGAGCACATGCAATTGGTCCTTGGAATTTGGAATGAAGAACTCAGTCATTTTATCCACTATGTATAAACCGCTTGCACAGTGCATAGTGTATATTGTGGCCGCCCGTTCTAAAATCAAAAAGATAAAAGATTAGTTCATGAGATCTAATTAACTCTGAACAAAAGCATGTTTTACTCACTATAAACAATAATACCGTAGGACTCCAAGATTTGCAATTGTTTTTCTGATGCTCCTCGTTGAAGATGATGCTGTCGTTGGTAGAATAGAGAAATTTGCATGCCTGAAAGACATTAGGGAAAGTGTGTTAGCCCGTTGTAAATATGACGTATTAAACTATAAACATACTTACATTTTAGCACTTTCTCTAGATCCTCGGATAGTTTGGTAAGATCATCATAGACAGCACTTCCAACCACCTCCATGAACCCAACTTCCATCGAAGTCCCATTTACATTAACAATAATTACACCATCCTGACGGCAACCAAGACTGAGCCGTTGTGTGCGTACTCGCGTCTCGATACGTTGAGCTTTTATCAACATATTTTCGATTTCACCGCTGGTGTAATAAAACAGGAGAATATCACGTTATCATAAGACATGCAACAAACAATGGGAAAAAAAGTATTGAATCAAAACCTACGTCCTCATATGAATGATTTCCATTAAGTCGTCGAATACTTTCGCGAATATAGGATTAATGAAATTTTCTCTATAAGAAAATTCTGTCTGTTCGGGGTCCAATAGCTGATTGATAGGTGCCATAAAGATCATTAAACTAAAAAAAAAAATAATTAGAAGCAGTCAATCCAATGACAGGATAAAACTTTGATCAATAATTATAAGAATACTAGTACTCACAAACGTCTATATATATCTTGTACCCAATTCAATTCGTAATGTTTTTTATAAATGAAAACTCCATTATACGGCTTCTTAGCAACGATCTCAATTGCATCATCCAAGTAAATGTCATCGAAAACTGATTCAACTTCCAGATAATTATGATATGTGTTTATTAAAGGTTTTGCTTCCGACTCCCATTTTTTATAACGGGCAGTTTTGATTTTGTCAACTTCCGATGGTTCGAGCTTTTAAAAAAAGCATATTATTAATACTGTAATAACCATAAATAACTAAGCACACTTCCTATAACAAATGCATTAATTACCGATATCCAAATATCTTTTAATAATTTCTTTTCACCTTCTGTCAATACTTTATGTAGAGGATTCGTGGCACTTCTTATTGATAGATTAATGATTCGTTATTGTAAAATGCGGTCTTTAAGGATTCTATTTTTTTAAAAATATCCTTAATCTCTGAAGTTGTTTCCTGTGCAACAGTATAAACCTTAAGGTCAGAAGATACCCAAGGAGACCAAAGTTATGCATAAAAGAAGGGTTGTACCTTGTGAGCTAGATGAACAGCTCTAATATAGATGTCTTCGTGCTCCTCATCAACATCACTGTCCTCTGATCTCGCCTTTTTCGTAAATAATGGAACCGAAGCTATCGGTATTTCATTATTAAGTTCTTCACCATCTACCTCCTCTAATTGATGTTTTCTGTTACTGTGTTCTTCAATATCAAAATCATTCTCCTTATTGTCATCACTTTTTATTGTACCGACAATACCGACAATCTACGGTGAAAATCTTTTTTAAGTAAAGTTGTAAGAACACCAAAGTCGTACTTATTGATAAATGACTTACATTGGTCATAGTTGATGTAAAATCTTGTTGAATGCGCAGACCTGTATCACGATTTGCTCGACAAGCTAGAATCTAAAGCATAAATTTGAATTTTAGAAACCACGAAATTATAACTCAAAAAATACGTGGAATAGACATACAACTTTTTTTCTTTAGCCAAGTCTCCCAATCTCTTTGTAAAGTTTCTTCCTATTTAAGAGAGAACAGACATTAAAAATACTTTGTTTTAAGTCAAAATTGTCAACATTCTTAAATACATACGTCATTATTCACGTCTCTAAGCTTATCGAGCTTATTGCCCTCACTACGACCCAAAGCAAGATCAAAACATTTCCTATCTTTTGATAATGCCCGTGCACGCGCTGTTGGATGGGTTAAGCGAAAAAAAGCGATTGGAGTTGGTTCCCGAGAATTTAATATCCAATTTATATTCGCTTCTTGCCGGGTCTTCATAGAAGATTTTCTTTTTTCTCCTCTCATTATTGCTTTGTTAAAAAGAGACTGTAAGTATTATCATAAACGAAAGCATCAAGCAAGTAATAAAAAATGGGCAGTTCTTCAATTAAGACCGGCCACCGCTTGAAGGCGACTCGCTATAACTAGCTTCCGATAAACCTCAACTCTACCGCAGACATCTTTCATGATAACGAACCCACAATAGTTCTGATGCAACGAAGTCAGCCGGCCACCGCTTGATGGCGACTCGCCATAACTGGCTTCCGATAGGCCTCAGCTCTACCGCAGACACTTTCTTCATGCTTAACAAAACTATCGATATAACTTATAACGAGAATTTTTACTAAAATTTACCTGGTAGTGAAAAAAACGTTGATATTAAAAAAAAGTAATAGTCCAAACTTAGCGAAGGTAAGTTTTTTTTCTTGCAAATCGGCAGGTATTCATCTGACATAAAGCTCGCGTCCTCTATTGTGCCAATCTCGGAAATCCATTGACCAATCCTAACATGTGATCAAAATCAAAAATTGAGTACGTTGATCGGGCTTATTGATCGGATCATTTTTTTTTCGTATATAAATTATTTTTTTTTTTACAAAATGTAGGAAGAATGTTTCGTTGCTGTTGAAGTTGAGGAAGAATATTTCGTTGTTGTTGAAGTTGAACTTGAAGAATATTTTGTTGCAATTGAAGAGGAGCTTGAGAAACTTCTTGCTGAGAGTTAGGCAAAATTAAACGCGGAGTTGAACGCGTAATGTTATTTTTTTTCCTCTTTTGAGGTCCAGAACTATGAGAACTGGACGTTTAGTCGAAATGTTCTCATTAGCTTGCATGTTCCTTAAATTTTTAAAGTGTATTAAAAATTTTACTAAAAAAGCGATCAGAATTGAACAGGCCTATTTTTTATATCGTGTAATGTTCGATTTCAATTGATTTAAATAAAAAAAAAGAAGCGATAAAACTATCGATGTGCACTTTTGCAGTTTTTTTTTTTGCATCGATATGTCGTATGTTCTTTTCTTTACATTTAGGTAAAAATATCTCAGCTCTAAAGAAAGTTAATTGAGAACCGAAAAATATATTTAATTAATAACTTATAATTTACCTAGTTTAAAGCATTTCTAAAGTTTACCAGTATTTTTTTCTACTATTGCTGCTTGCTTCTTTATTTTCATTATCTAATATTTCATCATCTTTACACAATCTTATTAATATTCAAATTTTACAAGTAAATCAAAATAAAACAGAAAATACAAAAATATCTATAAAGTAATCTAGAAAATAAAATTACTTTATCAATACTAACCTTGCACTTTTTACCGAACTAAACTATATATTAGAAAAGATAAGAAAATTAAACTAAACTAAAATACAGTATCAAACGTTCAGAAGAAAAGGTGTGGTTACTGCCATACCAGAAATTTGACTAGTACAATACCATAAGCAATAACTGCTAAAAAGGAGGGAGGTTAGAAGCTGGTATTTGAGGTATATAAGGGAAGCTAGAGGAGACCCATTCTATAATAAAATCATCTGTAATATTATTTGTATTTTTCATTATTATAAAGATTCACATTTTTTTTCAAATATTGTAAATAGAATTAAATATGTCATCAAATAAGAAGGAGAGAAGATCCAATGAGAGTTATTTGTTAGAAGTAATAGAATTGATTGATATAGAGAAGAATGAAAGGACAATCCCTTTAAAAAATCAGTAAAGTATAAGCTATTATGATTAATAGTGAGTAATCAAATTGGTGATTGATTAATGATGTTAAAGGGTGTATTGTTATTAAGATGATTAAAATCTCTTAAAGATTTGTTTATGATATTAAATAATATTAGACAGAGATAGTGAATTATAAGAACAAACCAAATATATGTATAGTCTTCAATTGCAGAATTGCAATAAAAATATATAGATGAAGTATAAATCTAAGAATATCAAGCATTCGTAATTTTCAGAGTTAAAAGAAGTTATAAAATTAATTTAAGCTTAAATTATTTTCTTTTACAAGTATCAAATGATATCCTTTTAGCATTTTCTGAGTTATTCAATATATAAAAGAGTGTTGATCAATCAATATAATGATTAAAATAAATGAAAAGTTGAGAAAAAGTTAATAAGACTTCAACCTAAAATGCTTATTGTTTGTTTTTAATCTAGAGATGAGAAGGTGTAATAATTAATATTGAGTTATGATAAAAAGTATATTTTAATTCTAAGTAATCAGGGTTGATGTGACAAAGATTACTATTAGTTTGTTTAGCTAAAAAATCTACTTTATTATTGAATTAGTCATCATTGTAAGCTTTAACTTTTGTAAAAATAATTTGAAATTTGTTAATGAAAATAAGGTAAAGAATGATCATCCAAATATGAAAATATAGAATTTAAATGCAGAATTCAATAATGAAAATTTAACATATAATTTAGTAATTTTATGATATAAATCTATAATGACTTATGAATCTATATAGATTTCAACTTGAATATTAGATAAAAAGTATAAATAATAACAAGAATAGCAAATATTTTAGCTAAAGTGAAAGACAGTAAGTAGGGTATAAAAGTAATATTAAAAAAGAGTATTTGCTAATTTTGGTTAGTCTATAACTAAATGATTTCCATCTAGTAGTTTGTAGAATTTAAAGATATAAGAGAAATATTTATATAAAATTAAAGAAATATTATATTAATAAATTATGATTTTAAGTTATTTAGTTTAAAAATAAATAAATTGTCAAAAAGAAGAACTATTAAGTTAAGTAAAGGTTTAGTTGAAAATTAATATAGAGAGGCTAATGTAGAGAAAATCACTTTTCAAAGCATTAGGTATAAGAGACTATACTATAATCCTTCACGTAATTTATGAAATATTTTAATTATAGAACAAAAAGCTATTAGTAATTAAATAGTACAGAAACTATGCTATTGTTATTGTTTATATAGAATAAATGCAGATAGATTAAAAAGCTTACTGTGATCAAGTGTTGATCTTAATAATCATAGATCTGCAAATGTGTATTAAAGCACAGAATATCAAAAATGTTAAATATATTAAACATGTTTAATATTCTTAATATAGTTAATATATTTAATATATTTAATATAGTCAATATAATTAATATATTTGATATGTCAAAATATGTAATAAAATAAATATAAATACAAGCTCTTTGTAAATTAGAAAAGACAGTTTGATAATTATATAAAAATCTCTTCTATAAAAGATAGTATAACATTACTCTTCAACTTCATGTATTTCTCTTGTTTACTTATTTTTCTTATATTTATTATATCTCCCAATAAAAAATTTGATATAAAAATTCCATAAAAATATTAAGTTTTATAATGTATAACTTTTATGGAAAATCAGT